CCAGCATGATTCCACCCACAGCAAGTTCCCTGGAATAATCACGACTGAGAAGAAGAAATTTGCCATCAACAGGAAGACAATTTCCATCTTCCAGGGGCAGGATCCTGCCCATATCAAATGGGGTGACGCTGGTGCCAAAGTCCAGTGGGGCCAACTGATGTCTTCACCACCAGGGAGAGGGCTAGGGCCCCTTGAGGAGTGGAGGTGAAGGTCATCATCTCTAACTCTTCTGCTGCTGCTGCCGTGTTTGTGATGGAATGAACCAAAAGAAGTATGGCACTCGCTCAAGACTGTCAGCAATGCTTCCTGTACCAACAACTGCTTATGTCCTCTGGCCAAGGTCATCTGTGACAACTTTGGCATCATTGGGGGACTCATGACCACAGCACATGATATCACTACCATCAAACACACACACACACACACACACACACACACACACACACACAGAGAGAGAGAGAGAGAGAGAGATAACCCTTCTGGGGAAGTGTAGTGTAACGGCTGTGGGACTGCCTAGAATACCAACCTTGCATCCACTGGTACTGCCAAGGCTGAGGGCAAGGTCATGTCATGGCTGAGCAGGAGGCTCACTGGCATGGCCTTCAATATTCCTAACCACAATGTGTGTGTTGTAGATCTGACCTGCCTCCTGAAAAAGCTGCCAAGTACAAAGACATTAAGAAGATGGTGAAGTAGCTGGAGCGATGACTCAGGGGTTAAGAGCACTTACTGCTCTCACAGAGGACCTGGATTAAATTCCCAGAGCTCACAAAGTGGCTCACAACCCTCAGTAACTCCAGTTCCAGGGGATCTGGTATCCTCTTCTGATCTCTACGGTCATCAGGCACATATGGTGCACTGACATATATGCAGGCAAAACACCCTTAGACAGAAATAAACTGAAATTGTATTTAAAAGGTGGTGAAGCAGGTACCAGAGGGCCATACAGGACGTTTGGGGCTATATGAGAAAGAAGAGGCTGTTTCCTGTGATTTTAGCAGTGACACCCACTCTTTCATCTTTGATGCTGAGGCTGGCATTGCTCTCAATGACAACTTTGTCAAGTTCATTTTCTGGTATGACAATGAATTCAGCTACAACTGCAGGGTGGTGGAGCTTATGATCCACATGACCTCTAAGGAGTAAGGAGCCCTGGGCCACCCATCTGGAAGAACATGAAAGGAAGAGTAAGGCCCTTGGCTGCTGGGGCTTTCCTCTCCCAACTCAACCCCCAACATATGTTCCCTGTTATAACTTTCATCCCAGGACTCCATAAGAGAAGGAGGCGCTTGAAAAGCCCCTTTCCCTTGAATAACATAGATAAAGTTCATTGCATCAGAAAAAATTTTATGATTTTCTGTTTGAAATTTTTTTTTAAATATTTATTTATTTAGTATACAATATTCTGTCTGTGTGTATGCCTGAAGGCCAGAAGAGGGCATCAGACCTCATTATAGATGGTTGTGAGCCACCATGTGGTTGCTGGGAATTGAACTCAGGACCATTGGAAGAACAGGCAATGCTCTTAACCGTTGAGCCATCTCTCCAGCCCCCTGTTTGAAATTTCTAAGACTAACTTTCAAGTATTCTTTGTCCTCTACTTTTGCTAACTTTTTTTTTAAAGTTTCTTTGGGGTTCTGGTTAATTATTCTCCTTTCTGGACAGTTTCCTAAACAACTCCCCCAGGAGTTAGCTGTCATCAATAAATTCCACTGATAACTTTGACCTCCAGCAACTGATCATGGGGCTGCTTCATTTCCAAGCTGGGGATGACTAAGTAGCCATCTGGGAATCAAAGTCTCTCCCTCTTGTCCTTTCTCTCAACTCGTGATCCCATCCTATTTTAGTGACTCAGCACTGTTCTGGTGAATCCTACTTTGGATGCCAGTGCTGTTCCAGAGTCCCCACAACCACTCTCTTTCTCAACGGTTTATCAGAAGAATTCGCCAAAGTGGTTATACTAATGCTCACAGGTTATGACAAAGAAAGGTAGCAGGCAGATTAAAACCCAGACAGAAGAATGTAAACGGCAGGGTACAGGGAAGACTGTGTATGAGCTTCCAGTTGTTTATATGAAAATGGAATCGGGTTGCCAGTATCCAATCCTTCCAGCAGTATGTGAGACAACATTCATCAAGCGCTGTTCGTAAGAAAAATTCACTGAACCTTTGGAGTCCAGAATTTTTTTGGAGATACAGATACAGTTGACTGCCTATGTTGGTTGATGATAGTCCAAACATTCTAGAGGCCAAGGTAATCCTGATTTCTGGTCTAAGTCCCCAAGGAAAATCATATTGTTGGCATAGACTATTTGATGTAGTTCAAGACTTCTGTGCAAACAGGATATTCCAAGGACTTAGAGACTAGCTCCATAGAGCCAACCAGTTCTGAGGTTTAAGTGTGTGTGTGTGTGTGTGTGTGTGTGTGTGTGTGTGTGTTTTGCCAGAAGATAGTGTTGAATCCCCTAGAGCTGTAGTTGCATGCAGTTTTGAGCCACCTGATGTGAGTGCTAGGAACTGAACTATGCTCCTCTGGAAGAGAGGGAAGACCTCTTAACCACCAAGCTCTACTCCAGCCCCAAGTCAAATAGTTTTCATGGATAAACATGATACAAATCATTCAGATTTGCTGAATCTTTTACTATGAGATCGACTGCCATAGCTGTTATTTCCCACCGAGGTCCCTTTTACCAACACTGCACCCACCCCCATTGTTGTTTGCCACGCATAAATCATAGCTGTTTGATTTCTACAGACAAAAGCCCTCAGCAGATAGGAGTTGCTTTTATACTAAAAGTTACAGTTCCCCGACTTCTATCTCTTTCTTCTCTTTCCTCCAAGAAAGACAGTCATCATTGACTGACTGGTATAATGGGATCGACTCTACAGCACAATTGACTGTTCTCAGAGCTGTCTTCGAGGTCAGGCTGAGGCTGGACTCCAGACAAGACCATGTGCTAGATTAGCCCTTTCCTCTACCCTGTCCTCCTCCTTTCTCATCTCCTATTTCTTTTTCCTTCTGAAGACAACTCCAAACTCTCAACAGGACATCTGTATGAGAGCCTCCGGACTGCCTTAGGAGTCATAACCCAACAATAGGCACAAGGCCTGGCACACAGGGATCACTTTATAAATTATTATTGAATGAAAAAGATTGAGAAAACTTCAAGTAGAACTCCCCTACAAATTATACAGAGCACCTCACATGAAACCTTAAGGGGTATTAGTTGCACACCCCAGCGCCAACCCCTTGCATAGTGGCGACTACCTCTCCGTAGAACTCTTGGGACGTGACTCTCAATTCCATAGTTCAGGGATACAATCTTGTGGCTGCGTCAGAACTGACAATTTAAAAGCTAAATGCTAATTTTCTCATTTACAAAGGCAACTGAGACTTAGACAAAACAAACAAACTAAAACAAAACAAAAAACAGGATCCTCTGCTACCTCCTAAGTCCTTAGAGACAAACCTATATCTGAAACACAATTCCCAGGCAAACAAAAGCCAGTGGAAGGACAACTGGTGGATGAGTTAAGGGCAAATGACACTGGCTCTATAGTGTCCAGTTCGTCAACACCAAACATGCCAAGGCCACCGCTCTGAGTCTTTGGGGAGGGCCTCCTGGGGGGCAGATCAATGCCCTTTCTATCATTCTTACTCAATCTCTCCTTTTTCTGGGGGCTATAATGTCAACGTCTCCCCTATTCCAACCCCGTCAGTTTTCCTTCAAAGTGTGAGTAATACTTAAATTTATATGTCACTTCACTCATCTTCATCACCAGACTGTCCATGGATTTAGTAGCTCTGTAACCACTGCCGCCATAGATTCAGTGGGAATACGTTTATTCTCATTGAATAAGTGTCACCAGTGATGGTGCTCAATCTGTTTATTCCATGTTCATTCCTTAATTTCATTCTTAGATGGCAGCCTTAACTTCCCATTAGGAGTGTATGCAAGGCATGGCAGTGCATGTCTGCAATCCTCACAATCACAACGAGGAGGCAGAGAATCGCCAAGAGTTAGGGAGCAGCCTGCATTACATGGTTATTTCAAGAGCAGCCTGGAACACAAGAACAGAATAACTTGGGGTCACAATGCTGCAGGTTTCTTAGGTTCACAACCACTGTCTTTATTTTCTTTAAATTTCTCTAACATCTCCCGAAACTGCAGTGCTTAAAACATGCAGTTCATGTGAGAGTCCCCTCTGTATGCCGTGAATATGTTTTAAAACCATTGGTTAATAAAGAAACTGCATTGGGCTATGGCAGGACAGAATGTAGGTAGGTGGGAAAACTAAACTGAAAGCAGAGAGAAGGAAGGTGGAGTCAGGCAGATGCTACGTAGCTGAAAAAGGAGAAGGACGCCAGAAGCTCACCGGTAAGCCACAGTCCTGCGGCAATGCGCAGATTAATAGAAATGGGTTAATTTAAGATGTAAGAGCTAGCTAGAAGTATGCCTGAGCAATCAGTCCAACAATGTTGTAATTAATAAAGCTTCTGTGTGATTATTTGGATCTGAGCAGCTGGGCAATGAAAGTGCAGTCTCCGTTCATATCCAATGGCATCCTCCTGCCACCCACAGCCTAGTTGCCTTCTGGAAAAGTCTATTCTGCACCCCAGAGTTTCAGGCCTCACTCTACCCCTCAGGCCTCACCTCATGTTCAGGGAAGAAAACTGCATACAGAAAAACTGAATGACATCCCAGACACAGAGCCTGAGGACCTTCCAGGAAGAAGCAGCCTCTCCTCCCTTGGGCAGGAGTCCGAGGAGTCATGCTGCTAGCATGCTTTCCTGACAACCCAGAAACCCTGGGAAGTCCCCAGGGCAGAAAAACATTAGCCAAGGCAATAACTAAGGGTGAGTCGTAGTTCTCAGTAAACAGTGATTTGCTGGCTAAGCCCCACCTAGGCTACCAGTGCTTATGAGGTGAGACAAACTGTTGTCCTGTTCTTAACTCAAGGTCCTACCTGGCAATAAGTCACAATGACTCAGTGTTCAAATCCAGAATGGTCAACCCAAGTGGGAGGAGGTGAGGAGGGTTTAGTGAAGATGTGGAGTGGAAGTTGGGGGTGGAGGGCATCCACAAAGAGCCTAGTTCCCTATTCTTTGAGTTCTCCCTTGAGTATAAACCAAGGTCTTCCTCTTTCCTGATTCTTTAATCTCCTAGCACTAGCTCTTCCTAATACTTCCAGGCCCCAGATCTGCTTGCCCATGCTCAAAGCTCTTATAGACCCCACCCCAGCCCTCCCAGCAGTCTGGATACTTGACAGGGGTTGAATAGGTCAGTGAGTCATGTGTGTCCCCTGGGGCTTCAGCCTGGCCCGGCTCCTGGACAGTATCCTAGGGCTGGGGGCACTAGGAGCGACAATTCGAACGGTCTTCTCGACGGCTGGCCTAGCCCTGTTGCTCCTGCTGCTGGTCAGCTTCCTGGCCTTTGACCTGCTCCACGGGTAAGTGACAGGAGTCTGCCAGGTGGGTATCCCGAGCACAGGGACAGATGAGCAATTGCCTTGAACTGCCCTCTTCTCTCTCCACAGGCCCACAGGTCCTATCCTGCCGCGACACAGACTTCTTCCAATGGGTCAGAGCCAGGGGGCTGGTGAAGGTCCAGGACAGCAGGCAGCTGCCCTCTTCCACACAGGGCTAGTCTCAGGACGACTCAGCTTCCAGGGTGCACTGCTCCTGCTGCTCCTGGGCCTGGGTCTGTTCTTGGGAGGCTCTGGTATACCTTTAGCCCTGCTGGGCCTGGCTTTCTGCCTCCATCCTTGGGCCTGAGGGCCCCCCGAAAACTGAATGCCTTCTAAAAATACACCAGCCATTCTGCTTCCCCAGGTTTCTTCTCCTCCATGCTGAGCTACATGAGGGTAAAGTGGTGAGGTGAGGGTAGAATACTCCATTGTGTTCAGCTTGAACCTCAGAGGCCTCTAGTTCCATAGTATGGACATTTGAGAACTGGGGCTGAGGCTTAGGGCAACAAGAGAAGGCAGAGAAAAGGGTGGATACAGCAACCAACTCCAACCCTGCAGTTTGAGGCAGCCATCAAGGAGGGACAGGAGCGGGAAAGGCTTCCTATAAACAAGGAGAATGGTTTCTGTGAGGTTTACTGAACACTCCTGCCAGCCTAGAGGATCCGTAAGTAAGGGACACAAGAGAGTCTCACACTATGCAGTAGCTCCTTCTTAGCTGGGCCCCGCCCCAGCCCGGGTCATAATGAACTCCTCTGAGGATGGTGGGGTGAGTGAGGGTGAGATTGAGGCCTGGCTGCCAGGCTGGCCTGGGCACAGCAGGAAACATCATGACTTAGGTGGCTCTGCCCAAAGGTAAGTCCTAGGCCCTGGTTCAAAGCCCAATCCTGCCTGTGCTGGTATCCTCCTCACCCCTGCAACCCTACCTATCCGGAGGTCCTGGGCATTTCCAGGGCTGCTTCTGCAGCTGGCCTGGCCCTGTCCACAGGTGCACCAGCCGTGATGCAGCAGCCACGAGTGGAGACGGATATCATCGGGGCTGGCGAGGGACCCCAGCGGGCAGTGCCCTGGTCAGCCTGGGTCACCCGTCAGGACTGGGTGCGCTGGTGGGCATGCCACATGCCCCGGAGCTGGTCCCAGTGGTGGAATACATCAGGTTGGCGGCAACCTCTACAACATATGCTATGGGGTCTGGAGGGGACACTCTACCTGCTGCTGTCCCTGATGCTATGTCATGCACTCTTCACCACGGGCTCCTACCTGCTGAGCTCCCTGTGGCCTGTGGTGGCTGTAGTGTGGAGCCACCTGCTGCCAGCTATCCTGCTGCTGGCACTCAGTGCCCTGCCTGCTCTGCTCTTCACGGCCTCCTTCCTGCTGCTCTTCTCCACGTTGCTGAGCCTCGTGGGCCTCCTTACCTCTATGACTCGCCCAGGCTATGCTCAGAACTTGGACCAATAGAAGGGCAACCCCATCTTATTGCCTGTGTCTGTTGAGCCCTGGCCAAAGGCCTGAGTCCTGTGGGGGAGGGAGGGCAGTGGGACCCCAGCAGTTCTCAGACCGCCCCCCAATCACAAGCACAGGTGGGGGCCTGGCTTCTGAGCCATGTACTCATATTGGTGTCAGGGACAGGACAAACGGTTTAGACGAGGACAAGAGCTTGTTCTTGTCTTTTCCATACGCCCATACGGAAGTGATAACGTCACTTGGTCTCCCAGGAAGCATCTTTTTGTCCTGCCACCTCAGTCTTCCCTGCTTCAGGCTTCCTGAGCATTTCCACCTGCATAATCCTGGTCTTATCACTCTGTGTACATTTGTCAAGGATCCCCTCTCTCTCTCTCTCTGCTTCCAGGAGGAGAGTAGAAGACTCTGGAATGGGCCTTACTGAAAGAAAGATAGATAGGAGTGGTCCTGGTCCAAAACCGTGGGGACCTTACCTCTCTCATCTCTCAGAAATGGAAAATAAGCCAGTCATTGTAGTGAGTTTCATGTGTATGTGTGTGTGTGTATGTGTGTGTGTGTGTATGCACACGCATGCTAGAGATTGACTCCAAGGCTTTGTGCATCTGCATACACTCCATCCTACAGACATACAGAACCTCCAGATCTGTTATGAAAGAACAAATCCCATTTCAGACACCGACAGCTTGGCCAGTTCATTATTTTTGAACCTCAGTGTTAAGTGTGTCCCATTTTTTTCATGGGATTGTTATGATCCAAAGTTAGTATCTATTTACAAAATACTTTGTTTTGTTTTCAAGACAGGGTCTCATGAAGCCTGGAATGGCTTTGAACTTACTATTTAACTAAGGATGACTTTGAATTTCTGATCCTCTTGCCTCTACCTCTAGAGTCCTGGGATTAAAACTTGTGCCACCATGCCTGGTTTTATGAAAAATACTTTGTAAGGCCAAAAAGCAGGTAAGATGTTTGGGCTCCAAGAACATTCTACAAGTTCAAAAGACCTTTTGATCCAGAAGCTTGATGATGGAGCAAGTTTTTCTAGGATTCTAGAGAAATTCTGTCATATATAGAATCTCAGCCCTAAAATAGCTAACACAGAATGGATGGTGTGGATTAAATGCAGAAGGCTGGGTCATCCACCCTCAAACTAGGCAGGTACTGAACTCTACTTGTGCAATGCTTGAGGTTGGAGCCTGGTGCCAGGAAATGCTTACTTCTGTGTGAGTAGGAAAATAATAACTCAGGGATTTCTAAAATTGATCATGCAAGTTGTTTACATCCCAGAAGGTTTTAGATCATCCATACTTCCTCGGAGTGTGGCTTCTATGCTGACCCTACCAAAAAAAACCTCTGAGCATTAGTTACCAGATAAGGTGACAGACATGTTAGATAATTTACCCACAGTCAGGGCCCAACTAGCAGTCTTTATCCATGCCCAACCCCTACCCATTCCCTGCTGCTTCCCAACTCTATTTTATCCCTAACCTTAAAATCTCTGCTGCAGAAGTTCTAGGCCAAAAAACTCTTCTGCCACCCATGCACTCATGCACCTTAAATCATGGTTCACTTTGGCCAAAACCTGCCGCAGTTTTAGAACTCTATATGTTATTGGTTAGACATCTCTAGTTTGTGTCTAAAACTCCAAACCAGTCCTTTTTCTTTGTAGTTCCCCCTGCAATATGGCCATTTGTCAAGGCAAGACATCGAGATGCTGTTAATCTTGTGGTTACCATGCTATAAGCCTAGTCCGTCACATTCTCTCTCTCTCTCTCTCTCTCTCTCTCTCTCTCTCTCTCTCTCTCACACACACACACACACACACACACAGCCACATAGACACTCCTCCTGTAGTTCAGACTGTCCTCAAACTCACTATGTAACTGAGGATGATCTTGAACTTCTGATCCTCTCGCCCCTACCTCCCAAGGGCTGGGGATACAAGGAAGTGCTACCATGCCTGGTTTATTTGGTACTGGTGATCAAACTCAAGGTTTCCTGCATCTTAGACAAGTATTCTACCAACTGAGCTACATTCCTAGCCCCCTGATAGGTCTTTCTAAACTTCATTTTCTACATGAACATAAAACAGACAATTGACTTGGGGCATTAGGCTTGCAAGGTAAAATGCCTGAACTAACCCCTAACACCACTATATACATGCACATACATATGTACGTATGTACATGCATACGTACATACACTGTGACTATTTTGTCAGGATCAGGATAGTCACTCATCAGTGTCAAGGCCAGGCTGTTTGAGTTCCAGATCACTCTTAACAGGCGACTAAGAAGAAATCCACATTAGAGATGATGCTAAGTACTTGTGATGTCATAAGCAAATGTGTCTAGATGTCTAGATGTCTGGAGGGCTGAGACTTCAGAGTAGTCTGTGGTGGGAATAGAGCCTAAGAAACCTAGCCTGGATCTTTTACTAATCTAGCCATGCCTTGCTGGTCAGGGACATCACTCCAGAGACCTGGGATCATTCTAATTAAGGGGAGAGGAGGCTTTAACCAAGACCATATGCACAGGATGGCAGGGGACACAGTGTAGGTGAGAATACGAAAGGCCTTTCCCCTCCCCTCACATCAAAATACATCTTCCATCCTCCTGCTGATGTGGGGTAGGGCAATGCAGTGAAACTGGCAAGCAGATGGGCAATCCTTACCACATGGGGCACTCATCCTATAACCCAGAAACAAAATGAATTCTCGCAGAGGTCCTGGGGGCCTCACTCTTCAAAATGTGGTCCCAGGAAGAGCAGTATAGTCATTCCTTAGCTCTTTAGATCTGTGGAGACTCTGTGGGGGCTGAAGAGATAGCTCGGCAGTTACGAACGCTTGCTGCTCTTTCGAGAGGATCCTGGTTCAGTCCTCAGAGCCCACATGTCAGCTCACAACCAACCATCTGTAATCTTAGTTCCTGGGGATCTGATGCCCCCCCTCCTCTGTGGGCACCAGGCCCTCATTTGGTGCAGATGCATGCAAGCACTCATACATGCACATGAAATAAAACTTAACAGCAAAAAATAGACACTCAGGGGCTAAGGATGCAGCTCATTTGGTAGTGTTTGCCCTTGATCTCCAGCACTACACAAGCTTGGCTGCTAGTTCTTGCCTGTAGTCCTGTCTACCACTTGGGAGATGAGGAACAAAAGTACAAGGCCTTCCTCAGCAAGTTTGAGACCAGGTTGGATTACATGAGACCATGTCTAGAAAGAAAAAAGCAAGCACTCCCTGCCCCCCAAAATCACATTTGACAGCTCCATCTTAGGCCTGCTGAGCTAGAGCCTGCATTTTAAACCCTCTGAGGCGACAGGTGTCGGAGAGACACTGCATTGGATATACGGTTGAGGATTTCACTGCGCTGTTGTTGGGGGGCAAGGAGATAGGAAGGGCAACACATGGGGGCGGAAGCAAACAGAGCAGTTGTGAGATCTTAGTATGAAATACGGTTCTAGTGGCACACATTTAAAACGTATAGAGGCACAATATTTCTTTTTGTAAGAAACAGAATGGCATGCATAACTAGTGCCGGGCAAATGGGAGTGGGATATAATGTGAGACACCTTGCAAGAAAGAAAAAACAGTTTCAACTTAATTCCTGAAATTCCTTTAATGTATTCAAAGCCATCCACTTTAAATGATTTTGAAATACAACCTGATGGAGAATGGGAATGCTGGCATCAAAATGTTCTAAGCCTTTCCAGTTGGGCCAAGAGGAAAGAGCAGTCCCAATTGACCTGATGTCTGGACCACTGGATGAATATTTTTGCCTGCCCTTCCTCGTCTCATCTACAGTTTTTTTCCCCATGGGGTTGGAATAAGGGGCTGGGATCCACCAGTGGTTTTAGCCAGATAAACCGATCAGGCATGGCTTAGTTGATTCACACCAATACAGTATCCTGATACTGAGGTGTGTGTGTGTGTGTGTGTGTGTGTGTGTGTGTGTGTGTGTGTGTGCAATGCGACCTTTCTCTCACTGCCTCATGGTCCAGGGAGAAAAGAGGAACAGTGTAGACCTAGAAGGACCTCTAAAGATGGTCAGAGGGGGAATGCATGTATCTAGGTACTCATGGATGAGCACGCCTGACTGAGTAGGACGGACAGGAAAGGGATCCCTAGAAGCAGGAAGACAAGCAGAGCCTGGGAAACTTTACAGGCTCACTGTTCTAAGACTAGACTCTAGAGGGCGTGCTCAAGGGTGACTGGCCCTTGGCCAAAGGGAGGAGTGAGGAAGCCTTGGCATCCAGGTCTCAGAAGCGGCCTGAGAAGCCCAGAATCAAGGGTGACCACTGGTAGGCATGCTCAGATGTACTCAAAGGCAGAGGCAGGGAGACAATCACTAGCGTAGGGGTGTGTCTCTGAATTGCTTAGCAGATGCCTGGTCTAGGTGGTGTCCTCTGGAAACCCTGTCTGGCTAAGGGCAGAGGAGTCATGAGGGCAACTGACAAGCATTGAGGTGGACTGATGTGTAGAAAGGCCTGACACTGATAAACCCCAAGCCCAGCCTGGGATACAAAGGCCATGAGCATCTACAAGGGGGAGTGATAACCGTCCTGGACCATGGAGAGCCCCAAAATCCCAGCAAGGGGAGTCTGGTGATCAGTGTAGCAATGCATGCCCCCCCCCCCCCCGGGGCAGATCTGTAGTTCTGGCCATGAAAGGTCGGCCTTGGTTAGGGTCTCTCAGGGAAGCGGGATTCTGCAGGCTTGGACACCAGCCTTAGGGTGAGTGGGGCAAAACTTGGGGGCCATGGAGACATAGCAGGTCTAGCATCACCAGAGTGACAGTTTTGTTGCCTCCTCACCTACTTTCCTAAATCTTCAGCTTGGCTACCCTAGCAAGAGAAAACCAAGACTGGGAGGGCTCGCTGATGACAGTCCTGAGAGCGCCAATTGCCTCGGTGAAAATCTGGATACAATTAACTCTGTAAAAAAATTTTGGGGGCTGAGTCAACATTTCCAATTATGTTTTGCAAGGAAACCTTTGCTTCCTTTATATTGATATTTCT